ACGTCTAGCGGCTACCCTCATATGACCATATGTAACCCGGGTAAATACTTCAAGCACAATAACAGGTAAGCCAATAGAAGTACTCCCAGTCAGTACTCTATAATTCACGAATAAGACAACTAGCAAGATGCCGAGTTGATCGTTTTCTGAGAGAAAATACAAATCAACTGCTAATGAGATCATGGGTTTAAAACACCATCCCAGTACCTGAAAGGGTGGTGATAGCGCAGTGATTTAGCGGCTGTCACTGTGATTGAAAGAATTACACAATCATGGGGGGGGGGAGGCCCGAAACCAAATGGTTCGCTTTCTAACATTTCAGTGGTCATCGAACGGGGAATGGGAGGGGGTGGGGCAAAGGAGAGCAATAGAGGAATTATATGCATAAAATCTTTACTCCAGTAAAGAAAAATGTGTCGGGTGTTGGGGAAAATAGGCTTCAACGTTCAATGTTCTGTCTGTTTCGAGTGGCAAATCGTGGATACACACCTAAAGGGGTTCAGACTGCGGACGAATGCTCCCGTTGTGTGTACCAGTAGACAGAATTCAACCGACAATTTTAACGAGGATAAAGCCGTCGTCGTGTCGTTGTTTTTTCGCGAGCCACCAATGTGGTAGAAGACGTTTTTCATCAACCAGCGCAGCCTTTTTTCACATGGTAAAAGTTCGATTCTTGTCCGGTCAAAATCTATGTCGTTCTGTACCCATGTGAAGTGAATGCCATTTTGTTCAATTCTGGATCAAGAACTAAGCCTATTAAAACACCATATGTGATAGTTGAAGTTCGAAATAGCGCCTAAGGTGGGACAAACGACATCAAGGAGTGCCAAAATGAAACAATAATTGAACAAAGTTTAGAAGCGAAACCATCGGCAGATGACCATTAAATCCGATATCATGAATGTTCTCTCGCATGCCTCCCCCCAAAATTCTAGATTATATTAGAGATATTATGTGCTGCATGTTTTTGGTGAACTTGATAATGGGAAATTCATCGTGACTAAGTACAGGAGATAGTCACATCAAAATGCTACAAACCTGATCGTATACCTATAAACCTGAAGGTCGAGGTTCAATCCTATGAACGTCAAATATTTCGTCATTTAAACTCCAAAAACGGACATTCTCAGTCTCATTTCAGTAATTATTTTAACACTTAACCACATGTCTGTGATGGTGGTGGTGGTGGTGCTTTTGTGCATTTTATCAAGCAGCATCGGTTGCTATACGGACCCTAATGTTGGAGGTGCAAACGCTATCATGATTACCGTAATGTGTTGATAGGCCACTTAGCTACCATTCGACTGATTGCAGCCTTATTTTTGTAGTTCGCTAGTCGGAATTTGACGAGTTATGTCACTGGCTCGCTCGGGAGTGAACATTCGAGAGTTATCAGCATGAGGTTCATCTCATCAAACTGAGGTATCCCATGAAACAGTTCGTTCACATTCCATGTTCAGACCCCAGTTTGTGGTTTAACCAATAACGATTGGCGACCAAGCAATTGAAGCTTTTCGTCTGTATGTCAGTTTTCGAGCTCAACAGGTGTGTTTTATTCATCTGATCTTATCGTGCACGCATTACATGAATCATGATGATGACAGTTCCCGGGTGCGGTATTCTGGCTGCAAACAGAGCGGCGTAATGCGTAATTGAATTATGAAGGGATTTTCTTGTAATTCGATTTTGCATATCGCGTTAATCGGCCACAACAGGGACGGATTCTCGCTTGATATGATCAACACTTATGGTTTTCTCCGTGCATGTGTAATGTGAACGTACTCTGGGCTCTTGCAGCGTAGCGGCCCGTATTCTCACATCGGGAGACGATACGAGACCCGGAACGGCAGCAGAGATGCGAGACACGGGTTGATGAGGAAGCAACGACTGACAGGTCTTCCGTCGGTCGGGGTTGAACTTAAATCTGCAAAGCGTAGTAAAAACAAAACACCCTGAACCAAAAAGGGGTTCAGTGAGATATAAGCACTGGCCATAAAATATTACTGGCGCGGTTGCCAAGCCTTACACGTGGTCCACCAGCAAACCTAGCGAATCACCCATTCAATTTACACAATGATCTACGTGAACCACCACCACCACCACCACCACCACCACCACCACCACCAGCATCACTCATAGAGTGTATTTGTTCAATAGCCTAGATGGAGATGTGAAGCCCATCGAGGCTGCTGTACTTTTCGCAATTCAAACATGGCACAACCATTCGAAATAATCTGTCAACCAAGATAGTTGAACAACTTGTTTGGGGAAATCTCTTCGGTCCACGCCAAGCAACAGAAACCGATACCGTAATTCCTAATGTATAGTGATGGTGACGCAGTGGTATAGTCACTTTCTCGGGCGTGCTTTGCACCCTGTGATTCGAGGTTAGAGCCCTTGCAAAGCCACCCAACTTTGCTGGTGGGGAGCTTTGCTGTCGTCCGGTTCAATACCACGCCTGACCAAGCGGGGCCTTATGTGGTTTGCCACTCCAAGTCCCGGGGTTTGGCTTGCCGGTTACCATCACTAAACAGCAGGTCCTCCTGACTAGTGTGTAATAAAAACAAAACATTCGCCTTCTCTGTTTTGCTCGGATTTCCGAAAAAATTGTACGTAGTAAAACATAGATAAGAATTAGACAACGTTTGCCATGACTTCGACGAATGTTAGTTGAGATGAAAACCTCACTTGAACTATCACAGATGCACGGTTTCCAAGTGTATTTGTTCACTGTAGTCACGTTATTTAGAAATAGCTTTATATTATAAAATTAGGTATGGAAACGAGTAAGGTGAGACGAAAAAGTGATATAAAGAGAGAGAGCGACAGGGAGACAGGAAAAATGTTACACTGGCACGTTGTATACTATTGAAATACATGAAACGTGTTTGTCATATAATTTAAACATATTCGATATAAACAGATAAATGTTATGACGTCGAGGACTAAATGAGTGACCGGGCTGGTTAATTCTTTCTTTCTTTGTGAAGACAGATTGACGTGATCTATCCATGAGGAATTTCAATCTGCTCCAATACGAGCCTTGTCATTCCCTGGGGTGGGTGTGTCCAAGTATGTAAACGAAACAGACCGCCGATCATGAAATGCACAAATCACATATCAGTATCCTTTTCCGTCAAATCCATTTCTTCCGTTCTTTTTTTTCGAGGAGTGTTTTTATCTCGCAAGAAAGAAAATTATATGGACCACACGTTCGATTCTACGAATCCGAGGCAAACAGTTCACGAAGACCGGAGTTCGAAAGTGCCCGAGAACCCACAACCCCATGATTCCGGGATCGATCGATGCAATCCGCTGTGGCCTCGGATGCAGTGATCAGTTCACTTCTCAATTTACGATACATGGCACAATCACATCGGACCAAAGCGTGCACGGCACGACGAAATGTTTTACCCACAAAACAATAAATTACAAAATTAATGGTTAAATTCACCGCGAACGAGAACAGGGAAATGTGATATCCGTTGACTAGAAATCGATTCAAATGATATTGGGACCCATTAAACTCCGAGAACACTTGAATCCCGACAAAAATCACACTGGGTAGGCTGAGGATGCAAAATGTGACCGAGACAAAGAACAGTTGTAGGGTCAGTATGCGTTCTTCACGTTGTGCGTCCCGATGCAATTTGGTCAGCAGTGGTCCGGAAGAGTTCTCATTCAACTTTTCCGCCTCACTTGTGTTCACTCCGTATCGTTTGATGAAATGCATATGTGTACTAGATTGTGAACTGAGCCACATACGACGTCTCCGGGTCAGAATCAAGGCCATTTTCACATTGGTAATGACCAGTGGAACGGCCGGAACGATTGTGATCAGGACGAATTCAGCCAAACGTAACTGTTGAAAAAATGCAGATGCTCTGCACATACGCCGCGCATAAGCTGTGAAACAATGAGAGAGAGGGGGGCGTGAGGAGGAGGGGGAGGGAGTTTAAGTGACAGGTTGACAATTAGGCAGAGAAGAAACATCGAAGATAAAAGTTTGTTTGAGAAAACCCTACCGGTTATTTATAATGATATTCCATTTTTTAGATAAATATCCAACAGGATAGAGATCGTATTCATGAATATTTTGCTTTCTATGAATAACAGGTATACAAGAAATTACTGCTTTAACTGCTTTAAGCAATATTGATTTTTTTTTAATGGAAGTGAAATATGAAAAGAATAGATGTTTCAGTTGGATGTGAATCCACACGCGGACACTTCCGGTAGATGTGGCTAATTCAGAAGCTCTCATTGTTTCATATGCGATAACCTAGGTCATTTTACAGCTCCATCGAGTGGACTCAACCCGAGAAAATCAAGGGTTCATAGAATTCCATCAATACATAAAGAAGACAAATGTCGCGAGATGTTAACATTTCGTTCAATCTTCTCAGTCGCTGACTTAAAACAATAACACACCTATGTAGCACATGGGATTAATCAATTCTGGTAAACGAACGTTTAAAAGCATAGAAAGATTACTAAATTTGGAAGTAGAAGGTCAACTCCACGGTAAGTGAGTTGATTGGATAAAAAACGTTTGTGCGCATAAGGTCAGGTGATGTCATCGAATAAGCAGTGCTTCACTAACTGTTCAAAAATTGTTGTTTCGCAGATTTGAAGTTTGTATGTCGATTGTAAAAAGTTCAGTAGCCTCGGTGGGATTCAAACCCACGCATGGACGCCGTATACGCTTTGTACGTGCATGCTCTGCCAGCTGAGCTACGAGGCCACACCAGTAGCACTGATCTTTTCACGTTCGAATTTACCCATCCAACTTACAGAGGCATGCGGCATCCACCAGGTAGCATGTAAGCAAACTGCCCCTACAGATTTTCCTTAGAATTCACCGGACTCCACTGAATGAACTTTTAAGCTTCTAAGTTGGATGGGCTATTTCGAATATGAAAAGCATCAATGCTATCGGTGTGGCCTCGTAGCTCAGCTGGCAGAGCATGCACGTACAAAGCGTAGGCGGCGTTCATGCGTGGATTTGAATCCAACCGAGGCTACTGAGCTGTTCACAATTGAAATATAAGCTTCACTAATTCCCAAAAGTTTAGCATTGCGATTACGTAATTGTGATTTGACAGACGAGTTGGGATCAATTATGTCTTGTTTTCATGAAATGTTTTGCAACAGATGACCGCGTGATCACTTGGCTATCAATTATCGGTTGCGTCATCGATTTCATCAACCACTTTAGGATATGTTCGGCCATCCGTTGTGACAGCTGACAGTTTGTTCTGCCTATGTATGCGTCACCGCACTGCAGGTGAACTGGTATACAGTGTGTGAGACGCAACTGGTTTGCCAGCCATGTTTACGTTAGTCCAAATCGGTTCCACGTGTGGAGGCGATGAGTCAGAGTTGAGCAGCTGGGAATGTGCGGTCTAGAGCCAACCTTAACTTCTGGTGCACATCATTGCAAATGTGGTCACTTTTGAATGCAAGCTAAATACAGATGACCTTTTACCGACGTTTCCGGTTGGGTTCCCTTTTGGGAATGGTCTAATGTGAATATCTACACACCTTTCTGGGTAATCATTGTTTAGCAATGTTCTGATTAGGAAATGCTCTTCTTCCTTCCTTTAGTGTACCTGGAGAACAAATGTTTCTCGTCCTATAAAATAATTGATTAACCGCATGTGCTATATATGTGACTGTTTTTTTAAGTCAGCAGCTGAGAATATTAAATGAAAAGTTAACATCTCACGACAATTGTCTTCTTTCTGTATTGATGAAATAAATAAGGGGGACTCAATGCTTCAAAGATTATAGAATTATTCATAATTCAGTGGTTTGGTTAATTCACAAAAATAGTTCCGTAAAAGCTGTCCACCGGTCCAATTGGTTCGGTAAAACACCTGTCAGAATGTGCCCAAGTATGGTCGTGAATGCGTCCAATAACAAAATTATCGCAGACCATCCTATCAGAGTTTACCCAATTAAGATGTTAACTGAGCAACAGTCATTTTAAAATTGACTTGGTGGTGAGCCACCGTCTGCCACAGAATCGTTTGTAGTTCGGGAAATCATCTCTAATTCCACGGTATTCTCGCATCAATTTTGGTCACCGAGTATAGGAATGACATGCTTCCGTAATCTGGTCAGAAACATGCGATCAACATGGCAATGACTAATCAGATTGATGTGATTCAGTAAATCTTTGGATTAATAATATTGTTTGATCACAGTATGAATGTTGATCCCTCTCGGTCATTGGGGACTCGTAGCTATTTTTGTACTTGGTTTATTCATTGATTAGAATAGGGCTCGTACAACGTCAGTAATCGATAGAGATGTGCCCCTGCAAGTGTCCCGACTTCGTGATTCATTATGCCCCATATTTCAACACCGCATTCTTTTCACCCACACAATGTACTATGATGTCGAGCCAAATCAATGTTTTCTGCGATTTCATCGTTCAACCGTACCCCGCTAAGCTGTCGATCGAACGTTCATGGCTACATTCTACCTCTATCTCACAGTCAGTTTCCTGAGAGCTTTGGTTCGCGCGAATAAAATGCGCCCACCGATCGATTCTGCCCGGTATTCGGCTCTTCGATTCACGTGCGTTACTGATACCCGAAACAAATTGAACATACGATTGCTTGATTCATTCATCGTCCATCCGGTTGTGGTCCTATTTCATAACCTTTGAACGGACGGGGTAGGGATGGGACTAGGGTAACGTTTGCCAAGACCGCTGTTGGTTAACAGAGTTCCTTGGATCACAATTCAACTGGTCATTCGAATTCTAAACTGAGAGAGAGAAATTTCATGTGAAACGATCCCAATCGTGATGCAAGTTTGGCTGAAGAAGGCAAATGATAATAATAGGAAATGAACTAACGGAACCTATTTGACTTCATCCTCCCAGCTTGTACACACTGTGCACGCTGAATGCTGCTGATGCGTGAATATCTGATGATGTTGCGTTTCGGAGGAGTAAATGATGAGCATGATAGACGCTTTGGAGAGCGAGATGATTTGTCCGTAGGGAGAAGGCCTCAAAACAGAATGTTTTGCCATTCACTCTTTGATCCATTTTCGCCGGGAATAGGAAGCTCATAGTGAGGTCGAAAAACTGTTACAGCTAGTGGGAAATGCAGAGCCCAAATAACTTGAACTACGACCTGCATTGAGTATTTGGGTTTTTCTAATATGTGCACAGTTCATCGGCTTTGATTGTCCCACTGAAAATAGTTGTTTGGCAGCTTAGGTGCTATTTGGTGGATGCCATATTGTGGTGATTGCACATAAAGACTTTGGACTTGTACTTGTTTTAATATACGTAAGACACAATGTGCCTTACAAGTGCGCGAATATAATTCTTTACTTCTGTCGCCCTCACGAGTTCTTTTTTGGCTCGCGACTTAGTTCTGGTCGGAGTACTTACGCGAGAATTACGTTATTTCCGAATTACTATTACGAGTGCGATTATCACAACTGGCGTCGCGGCAGTCTTTATCATGGATATTTGCAACTTGGAAAGTTTGGACGTTCATGCTGATTCCAGCACAGTCGAAAATTATTTAGAGCGATTTGAAATCTGGTGCATTACACGGAAGAATTTGGACGGAGAGAAGCAGACAGCACATTTTTTGACGATA